TTTTTTTTTTTTTTCTTTTTTTAAAAATTTTTTTTTTTTTTTTTTTTTTTTTTTTACATTATAGGCTTTTAGTTCATTGCGAGGAATAGAATTTTGAACAGAAAACCTTGTTTGGATTTAGAATGGAACAGAGTGCAAGGTGAGTGAGCATCTCTTGGTAAGCAAATTCATCATTCTCGGTCAGTTGGATATATCCATCCAGAATTGCAACCTTGCCATGTCTAGATGACTGCACACAATACACATCACCCGAGGATGTTATCAAGATTTTATTATGAAAATGAAAGTATTATAAGAGGTACCTCAAATACAAGAAGCTCTTGGAATTCTGATTTCCCTTGAAATATGATCTTTTCCATTTTATATATGTGTGCTTCTCCTGTACAATTGTTGGTGTGAAAACTAATGGTACAAAATGTTACTACTACTACTACCAAATTAATAGTACAAAATGTGAAAATAACACTTTACTATATACTAGGTGGCCACCATCCCCTTTACATAATTCCCCCCTATACTTTTACCTTTATCGTTATTATTATTATTATTTTGAAAATTCCAGTAGTTGCCCCGAATAACAACCAATTTGGTGGGTGTGACAAAGACAAAGACCCACTCAAAAGTTAAACACCAAATTTAAATCATTGACCAAAAAAAAAAAAGAAACATCAAATAAAAAACTGAAATAAAGTTTATATCAAATCATATAATAAAAATGAGTCAAGTAATTGAACCCTCCGTATAGAAACTTTGAAACAAATAGTACCCGGCCAGGAAGCATCAGCATACCACCCTGGAAGCTCAGGAGATGTGTCTTTAGGTGCTCCATTACTCTCCTCTCCATTATCAGTTTCTGATATTACAAGCTTTGAATTTTGATGATCTAAATTCTCACCCTGCACTTGTGATTTGATGGGATATTGACAAATAATGGTCTCTTTGGCCATGAGACTTTGTTTTCTAAACTTGTTAGCTTCTCCTTCAGGTTTGGTGTTCAATTCTTAAATTTTTTTTCTTCTTGGCCTTAAAAAGGTAATTGCAATATGCCAATGGCTATATGGCCAATTAGCACTTATGTAATGAACGATTTCTTAGTGCAATTGATTTCTAAGTAGCCAGTGTAGTTTGTGCAATATTTGGTAGGGAAAACTAAGAAGGGGCAGAGGGTAAATGCACCAATGCATTTCCACGCCTTCACTTGGCATAATATATATAGGTGATGGAGCTAGGAAATGCAATAAAGGTTTAGTATAAAGTGCCCTTCATTTAGTTTTAGACTCTTTTATTACGATTAATGTAAGATTTAAATATCTTAATTATTTTATTTTATATTTATACCGTATGGTGGCCGACTCGTCCGAATACCCGAGACCATTTGCTTATACCGAGTGCCCGAACCCGCCGACCACCCCCAGATAGGGGCGAAACGTGTCGGCGAGATCAGCCGAGTATGTCGGCATCATCAAGATGGTTACGGAGAGATTAATTAACATAATGCATAGGATTAGACCCCTAATTTTTCGAGGCTCAGTCCCTAATTGCGGCCCAATAAGAACTACTATAAATAGGACCCCAACGAGGTATGTAATTAATTCTGAACTACCGCATTTATTACGCCGAGCACTAACTTGGGCATCGGAGTGTCTTTGCAGGCACACCCACCCCGGAATTCGGACTACCCGGATAGGAACGAGAAGACCGAGACCCAGGATCAGACCCACTACAACAAGGATAATTAGAGTGTGTATCCTAGTACAGGAACATTTGGCGCCCACCGTGGGGCCGAAGAGACGTTTTCAGCCCCTTAAAACTCTATAGCTGAGACCGAGACATGGTAACAACGCGCAAAGGACAATCGACAACGACTCACCCGATTCCTAACCCCGAAAGCAATCCCGTCATGGCCAACCAAGAGCGCTACTCGTACGGGATGCCTTAGACCCAACCGGAACCTATGATACAGCAAGTTCAGCCAAACACCAATCAAACTCAACCGAACTTTCAAGACGACTTGCGAGCAATTCGCGAGGAAATGGCGACCATCCAAAGGCAAAGAGAAGCCGACGCCCGAGAGCTGGCCGAGCTACGTTGACAAAATGCCGAGCTCCGGAACCTGAACCAAACATACGTGTCGTCCACTCCCACACTTGCGGAAGAGTCCGCCTATCACGCCCCAACGGACCAGGTCACCCGAACTCCATTCACATCTTTAATAGCCAATAGGACCGACACCACCGTTCACTCCCTGAGGCATCCTTTTTCCAGAAGAATAATGGAGGCAACACTGCTAGACCATTGGAAGAGCATGTCAATCTAGAAGTACGAAGGATCATCCGACCCCGAGGAACACTTGAATGTTTTCTTGACTCAAGCAACTCTCTCCACTCAAGACGACTCGGCTTTGTGCCGAATATTCCCCACGTCTCTGAAAGGAAGGGCCCTGGGTTGGTTCACAAGGCTACCGAGCTCCTCCATCGAATCATTCAACGAATTATCGTCCCAATTCACTCTCCAGTTCGCAACGAGCAAGCCGTACAGGACGACCTCGCTAGCCTTAGCGGGGGTTCGTCAGGAGAAGAAAGAGAGTCTGAGGACTTTCATGGACCGGTTTAACAAGATCGCTATGGAAATCGGCGACCTCAACCCTGCCGTGGCAATGGATCGGCTGAGCACGACACTCAGGCCCGGACCCTTCGTAAACAGTTTGTGCAAAAAACCACTGTTGGATATGAATGACCTCCGACGCCGAGCCGAAAAATACATGTAAATGGAGGAGTTGGCGGAGACTCGAAATCAGGCCAGGGCCGAGGAGGGTTATAGCCGAAAAGAGCCCGGACGAGAACCGGTGAGAAAGACCTACGCCGAGCCCCTAAATACCCGCCCCCCAAGAGGACCCCCCTATACAATATATACTCCCCTCAATGCAAGCAGGGCCAAAGTAATGGAGCAGGCTCTTGCGTCAGAAATCCTCGTGATGCCGAAAAGAGCGAACACGCCCCCTAGAGCTGACAAGGCGAAGAATTGCCGATTCCACTGAAACCGGGGGCACTCCACCGAAGAATGTTCAGCATTGAAGGACAAGATCGAGGACCTCATCAAACAGGGTCACCTCAAAAGCTTTACCACCTCCCAAGACCAGACCATCCTCGTGAAACTCGTCCACCGAGGGACCGACGCCGCCGATCCCGTTCGGCTGAACGCCGAGACCGATCACAGCGTCCCAGGGAGGACAATGACCAAACACGAAAGGTGATCAATACAATAGCCGGGGGCTTTACCGGAGGCGGTTCCTCCTCTTCAGCACGAAAGCGACACCTCCGAGCTGTCCGATCAGTGAATAATGTGAACCAGCCGAGAATGCCAAAGATGCCACCCATCACTTTTACTGACCGAGATTTCTGTGGCGTTGACCCCGTACAAGACGACCCATGGTAATTTCGGTCGAAATGCATAACTGCATCGTCAAGAAAATGCTGGTTAACCAGGGGAGCTCGGCCGACATCTTATACTGGAACACGTTCGTGCAACTAGGAATCCTAGAAGAAAGCCTAGAACCATATCACGAACCATTAGTAGGGTTTTCCGGTGAAAGAGTAATGACGAGGGGGTGCATCGACTTGTACACTAGCTTCGGTTTCGACCAAAAGTCTTCCCGAGAGATCAAAATCCGTTACATCGTTGTGCATGCGAACACATCCTACAATGTCCTGCTCGGCCGACCCCCCATCAACGCACTCCGAGCCATTATCTTGACCCCTCATCTGCGCATGAAGATTCCGTCGAGCGATGGACAGGTAATAATCGTTCATGCCGACCAGAAGACAACACGAGAATGTTACCTCTCTAGCCTAAAGGTCCATCCTGTATTCGACCCCCCGCCAACGTTGTCAGGCGTAAATGTAATAAGACAAATGACAGAGGGCTTAGATCTCGACCCACGCCTGGGTGAGGAGGATCGAATCGAGCCGGCCGAAGACCTCGTTCCTTTCCAACTCGGGCGGACACCCGAACAGGTCACACACATAGGATCTCAGCTGAACGAAAACGATTCGAACCAGGTGAAGCGAACGGTTCAAAACAACAAAGACTTGTTTGCATGGAAAGCGTCGGATATGTCGGGGATTGACCCTAGTTTCCTATGTCACCGACTAGCCGTATGCATCGACTTGTACACTCGCTTCGGTTTCAACCAAAAGTCTTCCCGAGAGATCAAAATCCGTTACATCGTTGTGCATGCGAACACATCCTACAATGTCCTGCTCGGCCGACCCTCCATCAACGCACTCCGAGCCATCGTCTCGACCCCTCATCTGTGCATGAAGTTCCCGTCGAGAGATGGACAGGTTATAATCGTGCACGCCGACCAGAAGACAGCACGAGAATGTTACCTCTCTAGCCTAAAGGTCCGTCCTGTATCCGACCCCCGCCAACGTTGTCAGGCATAAATGTAATAAGACAAATGACAGAGGGCTTAGATCTCGACCCACGCCTGGGTGAGGAGGATCGAATCGAGCCGGCCGAAGACCTCGTTCCTTTCCAACTCGGGCGGACACCCGAACAGGTCACACACATAGGATCTCAGCTGAACGAAAACGATTTGAACCAGGTAAAGCGAACGGTTCAAGACAACAAAGACTTGTTTGCATGGAAAGCGTCGGATATGCCGGGGATTGACCCTAGTTTCCTATGTCACCGACTAGCCGTATGTCGAGACACTCGGCCAGTCGCACAGAAGAAAAGAAAAATGGGCGACGAGAAGAGAAAGGCAGCCGATGCCGAGGTGAAAAAATTGTTGCAAGCAAAGTTCATCAGGGAGGTCACTTACACGACTTGGTTAGCCAACACAGGTTAAGCGCGCCAGGCGTGGAAGAGCTTAGGGCTCTCGGGTTGGATGTTGGGCCAGGCGTGATTTGGTTGCGTTAGGCGTGGAGACTCTTAGGAGTCTCTGTCTCAAGGACACCGAGCGTGAGTTGAACGCACCGAGCATGGATGAGTTTTAGGACTCTCAGGTTGGGATTATGCTGGGCGAGCTCAGGCTGCGCCGGGGGTGATTATGTTTATGAATGAAATAATGCTAATGCATGTTAAGTTGAAGTTTTGGATAGTCGGTGGGCGAACTCCACAATTGACTTGGTTATGCATGCCAAGGTCGTGGTAAGCCCGTACCCAACTGTGTTATACCTGACGGTGGATCTGGACTTTCAATTGTGTAAGTGACATCATCCGAGTAAACTCGAGTGAGGATTATATCCTGTTTAGCTGTGACCGAGCAGACGCATTGGGCGTGAAAACGGTTGGGTGGTTTCGATAGGATAGAATGTCACTTATACAGCTCTGTTGTTAGGGAGATCTCCTAGGTGTATGCGTGACGACGCATTAGATGATTGATATGCATTGATATCTGTCATGAGATGCATTTATTGCATGATTAGTAATATGATGAAGTGTGGTGTTTGAATTCATGATTGGTGGATTGTATTTTATGCATGAGTAGTATTGGATAGAGTGTATGGTGTGACTCTATGAATATGATTAATAGTTGGTTGATTGTGTAGTATAGATTATTGTTCTATACTTGTATGATTGATTTTTGAACTCTAGCTTACCCTTCTGTTTCCATGTGGATGGACTGCGATGATCATACCTTGTATGAGAGCAGGTCAAGGCTAGCTTGGAGTTGGGGTGACCGCTGCAAGACGGGGAGTTTGATCCTCGTGTTAGAGTTACCATTTTGGGTAACGGTTTTGTCTGTGTTTGACCAGCACTAGGGAATATTATTTTTGGGATGACTGTACATATATGGAGTTCTATTTTTGTATTTAAGAAACTTAGTTATTTTTATTCTTATCTATACCTGTATGTATGAGTTATCCAACTTAATATTTCTCTTAGTTCACTAGTAGTAGTGCGATTCCACTAAGTGTAGAGACCATGGCGGGTCGTTACACTAGCAACCAATCATACATTTTAATAGTGTCATGTCATTTGCTTATTTAAGCAAATAAAAATAAAATAAAATAATTTAAAAGATATGATTGGTTACTGTGTAAAAAACTTTACACCGATAGTTTATGGATGATTAACTCATATTTAAAACTAACTAATTTTTTTTTTTTTTTTTTGAAAGAAGCAGAAAATGTGAGAATTTGAATTAGAGTTTTTGTTAATTAGTGTCCTAAATATTCATTGAAAATTCAAATAAAATTATACGAGGGAAAGTCTAGTACGCTTTTCAATAAAAGAAAATTATTTTTATTCTTTAAGTAATGTACTAAGTGTCCATTTAGTTTAAAGGAAGAGAGGGGAACAAATTTAATGGAGAGGACGAGAGAGAAGGAAATGAAAAATTAGAAATTTTCTTTGGCTGAAACTTGAGAGAAGAGAAGGGAAGAAGAAGTGGCTCAATATTTGAATCACAAGTGAAGAGAAAGAATTTTTAAAACTAATTAGTATATAAGTAAGTAGTGCATATGTATGAGTGTAGTCTTTTGCTAATTACTTTGTGAAATACACATGGTTTAAACAACTCTGTATTAAATTAGAATAAAATAATAAGATGAAAATGTTTATAAAAAATATATATAATGCAAATTTTATATTAGACACAAAGAAAATTTATATTTAT